GCCTGAGCACAGCCTCCCTGCAGCAGGGAAGCCAAAGCCCTCTACCCTTGTGAATGAGGGAAGTCCAGAGAGAAAACAGGCTGAGAAAGCCTCCTGCGGCGGAGTCCGGCACTGTGCTGGTGCTTGCTGCAGCCGGGCAGTGCCGTGGGCTCTGCCTCCTCTGCAGCCAGCCAGCAGTGGCCGCCCGTGGTCAGATCCCAGCTGGGAGCATCGCCTGCTCTTCTTCATGACTACTGGTCTGTGGGCTGTCCTCCCCCCAAACAAAATAGAGGCATTTGTCGTTAGTTGGCTGTTTCCAAGGCCAGTCTGCAAAGTTGTTTATGCCAGAAAAGAAGCTTTCAAATTCCTAAGCGTTTTCTATAAATTTTCAGTGAATTCATAAAAATATGGGGAGAGGTTTCGTTTTCCCTTTTCTGACAATGGATGATTTAGTTCTGTTACTATTCCTGCAAAGAATCTCAGCTGCTTGCCTCACACACACTGTGTACTTTCACCCTCAGGATTCTCAGTGACGAGCTAATTGTGAATGCAGCCAGTCTCAGCAATCAGCTACCATCCTTTGCCATTATTTTAGGTGCTGTCTTGCCCGCAGCACAACTAACGAGTGAAAAAGTAAAAACCTTTGGGGGGATATATCTAGGATTAAATCAAGGAGACCCCTATAGAAGATGCAAAGCTTGCACAGAACATTAATCAAAATATGCTGTCTTGGGCAAGTAGCATTTGATGGAGGATCTGTGCCTACCTCATCATCTAGAATTTCAGTACAAGCTGTACATTAAATATTTATGCAGCACGGCGCTGCTTCACCCCTAGCAAAAGCATAGGTTCAGGTGTATACTGTTACCATAGACATCATTTTACTAAAGGGAAAATGCTGAAGAACCTTTAAGAGTACTTGAAATGTTGCAAAGTAAAGTACCTCTGGGGTGGGGACGGAAGAGGGGTTGAGTCCATAGTGATGGATAAGTAGCTTTGGTTCCTAAACAGAAATATTGATTTGTTTACCAGAATGGCACTAAATAGTAAGGTCACAGAATGAGAAGAGAGATTACTAATGCAAAACTTAAAAGAACGGATGATACAGAAACTGGTAACCTGGTTTACTGTTGACAGAGAGATTGGAGTAGTCCCTGGGATTACCATTAAGAAAGAAATGTTACTAAAAACACAGCTGGGAGTAATACTGTTATATCTTTTTTAGGATCAATACTGAGATTATTTGTCGCATAACAAATTATAACTTCACTAACTGTAGATGCCTATTACATTTTATCTATCAAGGAAAATGAAACCTGCCTAATTAAATAGGCTCATTGTAAGGATGGAAAGAATGAGGCTCCTTAGTAAGAGACAGCAATTTTTTAACAGTGATTACTTCCACTCATGAATTTTCCTGCTTTTTCCTTAACCCTTAAAACAGATCAGGGAAGTACTAGTGTTCCCATTTTAGAGATAAAATAAAAATTGAGGGAAACCACTTGCAACATGTAGAACAAAGTTCATGTACCCTTATACAAGGGTACAGAGGTATCCTTAAGGATATCCTTATACCTCTTAGGATCCTTATATAAGGATCCCCTCTGGCCCTAATAAGCTTGAATTGGTTTTATTCCTTGCAGCCAGAGGTTCTTAGTTACTATACCATCCTCTCTTCATTATTAGGGTATCAAGTTAACTAATGCCCTTGATAGATGAAGAGGTACTACCAATGAATAAGATGAACAGTCTAGCAGAAAAATAAAGGACATACACAAGAAGAGCAAAAAAGCTAAAAATGCTCAACCTCAGATATGCTAATGGAAGTGAACTTTTTAAATCTACAGAACAGGACAATTAAAAAAAATACTCCTACCCAGTTTTAGAGGAAGCATGGATAAGTATACCACTCATGTTACCACTCATAGACCACTGGAGCACAGACTGGGTCAGTCATTCTGTAGGGCAAGTTACCAACAATATCAAATCCATGTAGTTTCCATACATTTGACCCCTAATGTTATCCCTAGGAAATAATTAGTGATGCATTTGAGGATACTCATCTCAGCATTATCTGTATAACCAAAAATTGGAAGTGACTTAAATACTTCAAGAGAATTTATTACATTTGATATTAGATATTAAAATTGATTATTGTACAGACATTAAAGGTATAGGAGACTATTAAGTGACACAACGCTTCCATCAGAATAAATGGGGAAAGCAGGTTTTAAATGCTGCCATATGATTCACTTTCGATAAAAAAAAATTGTATATGCATACGCATTTGTGTATCATGTTTATAAATATGCTATGCTTGCATACCAAGGTGGAAGTAGAATCAAAACATGCTGGTAGTACTACAACTTTTTTCTTTATTCGTATTTGATTTTTTAAAACTTACAGTAAAGAAAAGCACTAGTTTGCAGGGAAAACAATGTTTAAAGTTACCTTTTTAGCAATTCAGCATAAATCACACAGGTTACACAAAGGTGGTCATAAAGTATCTAACTGAATGTGTACTTTGTTCTGTTGATCTGACACATTTTAGTGTCTGAGTCTGTTTTCCTCTGTTAAATGAATGACTGTCATTTACCTAAATCAGGAAAACACAGCTTAGATGTTCAGACATGATAGTGTACAGTTGTTGAATAGTTCTGTAAGGTTTCTTAGGGAACCAAAACCAGGTGTTCAAAGGTGGTGTTGGGAGAGGGAGGATGGAAGTGTTTGCAGTCTGTCCGTTTCATAGTCAAGCTCTGTGTCTGTGGAGAGGCAGGAGCAAAGGAGTGAGAGAGCAAAGGGGTGGGAGCTGATGGGTCGGGTAAACTTCAAGGTAGAAAAATGACCAGCACAAACCTTTTGGCCAATAACTACAGTTCTTGACAGGGTATTCTCTGCTTGTCTCCATTTGTCCTTGTTTTTCATCAATCCCCTACAGTCTGCAGTCCATGCCAGTCCTACCAAAAGCCATCTTCAGGGGTCACCAATGACCCCCTTACTAATTGTTGAATCCAGTGACATCTTGTTAATCCCATGCCCAACCTTTGGCGTCGCTGACTTTCTGGGGGTAGTCTGCCTCTCCACCCTCAGAGTCATGCTCTCCTGTAACCAGTCCCTTTGTGTCTCCATCAGCTCTTACTCTATCTCCCTTGTTCCTTCACTGGGTTTTCTGCTCGTTCCCCCTTAGAACCCTCACTGAGTTCTGGATCTTCAATGACCACCTTTCTTGAGGGAAAAGCCCAGCAGCCAGTCATCTTTCCCCACTGTGAGTCATCCCTGCTACTGTAGGGGATTCGGTCAAAAGTGGTTTTTGAAATCAGAACATGTTCACTCTGACACAAAGTCTACAGACATTGGATGTACTTAAGAACTCCTGGCTCCATGAGAAGTCCCCCCTAGATTGTTTGAATGATCTGCTCTTTGATAGAATAAGCTCCTTGTGTGAGCCTCTCCACACAAATAAAAATATTGGAGTTAATAAAAGAATCATCACTCAAGGCACAGAGGCTTATAAATTTCAAAAGCCATTTGCAGAGCTCATGCAAACAACATCAGGTTTGTAAAAACCCTACTGTGGTCCACTGTGAGGTGAAAGTGACTTAAAACCATCAGAATAGTCCCTTTCAAGCTGGACAACTAAGCTCAGTAAACACGAAACAGTGAACAATAGCATTAAGAACCCGTGTGATGGTTATTTATGTTGTCTGGAAGGTAGGCATTGCTCAGGCCAAGGACTCAAGCTGGACCTTGACAGGGGGAATAAGAAAAGCTATGTTTTGCTTGGGGAATGATAGGTGTAAAGACAGGGTGTAAGAGTGTGTGTCCTTTGGAACATGACAAGACTTATCTGACCAGGACTGAAGTGTTTTGTTGGAAACTGGAAGACAATAAGATAAAGTAGAATAACCTGAAAGTCAGCAGAGGAGTTTACATTTGATGGAAGAGAACATTACCACCACCATGGATATAGATGGGAGAGAATGCTGGATTTGGAAATTAGAAAACCAGAAAACTTTAGAGTTGGAGGTATCCTATAAGGGTGGAGGTAACTGATTCTTTTGATCATCTTCTGTGTTTCAGGTGCAAGATCTCACAGTTGTTATTCTTGCAGCAATGTTAGGCTAAATGTCAGAATTCTCATTTTAAATTCAGCAAACTGAGTTTTGAGGAAACATAGCTCAGTCTAAGTTTCTCAGAGTGCCTGCACCAGTATTCAAGCCCAGGAATGTCTGACTTCAAAGCACAGTGGGGATGAAGAACATTGAAATCAGTTCTTCATTTTATAGTCAAGAAAACAGAGACCCAGGAGACAGGGAACTGTTCAAGGTTACACAGATACTAAGATGAAAGCAGTTGCTGTGCAAGAGAGAGTGGACAGGTGGTCTGCAGAGGCTGCTGTCGTAGGGCACCAGAGAATTTGGTGTAGTGGGGGCATAGGAATGTACGAGCAGAGAGCAGTAGAGGTTCAAGAGAAGGTGACAGCAGACCCATCTCAGTGTGGGAAGATGATGGAGAGGGATGACTTAAAAATAATGTCGAGCTGTTAATCCCAGGGAACTGTCATTTACAGAGAAAACCTTTCCTGGAGCTAATTTTAAGAGAAAGACCACTATGGAGCAGTTTGATTCTGAAATGACAAGAGATATCAAAATTAAAAATTGATGGGTTTCATGAACTGACTTATGAATGTATTGACAAAAACACAGAGAACAGTAATGGAGTTGAAGGGGAAAGGCTGTGGGGAACCAGCCCTTTCCTTTAAAGTGGTGCTGAGATACCCCTAGAGCAAACGACTAGCTTTATCTAACGCACAGGGTAACTCCCGTTTGCCTGGTATCCTAGATTCCCTCTTACACTGGCCTGCCCCTTCTGTGCCTGACAGGGACATGGGTTGACTGTGCTTTGGTTTATGCACTCCATAGCTGTCTCTGGTAATTTATTCCCCTCTTCTATGGTCTCCAGCCTAGAAAGGAGTATTGCTCCATAACATTTCCCTCAACGAGATTCTTTTTTTCTTTCAGAGTGATTGTCACAGTACTGGATGGACTGCTGACCAATTATTGAATTACTTCCATCTTTTGACCACACTAGGAAATTGTCCATGGAGTTGATATATTTATTGCAGTAATTTCTGGCCTTACATGATTTAGGTAAGGTATACTTTTTTCCGTATAACTATCATGAAGTTGTCCTGTTTGCTGCCTTTAACTTTGCTTTTCAGAGAATTGAGTCCATTTTTTCCTCCTACCTTTTATGCTCTAGTAATCCCTTCAGAGGGCTCTTAATCTGCAAATGTATAAGACTGCAGAAAAGACTTTTATGGGATGAAATATGAGCAAGCTGACTGACTCTGAAGAATAAAAGGGAAAATGTATTTCTCTTCAGATTAAATCAGTAGAAGTCCCCTATTTCCATAAACCCAATATGTATAGAGTAGATTACACTAGAGAAACTTAATAGATTAAAAGGAGTATTATTAAGGCCATTGGGGAAAAAATTGAGATACTTAAATATTAATATACTGCTGGCTTTGTTCAGGTAAAGAAAGTATACAAATACAGAGAATTCAAAAGAAAAGAAATTTGTTATTCCACTTGCAGAGACAAGCAGTGTTAAACTTCTGCATTATTTGTAATATTTGTTTTAATATTATTTGTATTACAAATATCTAATGATATGTGTGTGTTGATTTGCTGGATTGTTGCAAATGAGTAACATTTATCACATGCTTGTTCTATGCCAGGCTCTGTACCAAGCCCTTTACATACATTAATTTATTAATTCTCAGAACCCTGTAAATTGTGACTTTTCTTCTCCTCATACAAACATAAGAAAATTGAGGCTCATAGAAATTAAATGACTTGCCCATGCTCACACAGCTGGTAAACCCACTCAGGAGTTGAACCAATTTGATACCAAAGCCCATACTGGGCTTTTTTTTACATACTTCCTTCCCTTAACAAAGTGCTTATTTCTTTTTTTCTATAACATCATTTTAAATGATGGCATAGTGCTCATTTATGTGCATATACAAAGACACTTTCTATCCCTTTCTCTCTTCTTCTTCTTCTGGTACCCATAATGCGAATATTGTTCCATTTGGATTGGTCACACAGTTCTCTCAATATTCTTTCATTCATAGAGATCCTTTTTTCTCCCTGTGCCTCAGCCTCTTTTTATTCCTCTTGTCTAGTTTCTATTTCATTTATCATCTTCACCGTATCCAATCTGCTTTTAATCCCCTCCATTGTGGTCTTCAATGATTGGCTCTCTGACTGGAATTCATTTCTGTGTTCTTGAATATCTTTCTGTACCTCTGTTAGCATGTTAGTGATTTTTATTTTGAACTCCCTTTCAGGAAGAGTCATGAGGTCCATGTCATCTTTCTCAGGAGTTATATTAATTTTACTCTGAACCAGGTTCCTTTGGTGTTTCATATTTGTATATGGCGCCCTCTAGTGTCCAGAAGCTCTACTCTTTGGAAATGCTCAGCCAATGGAGCAATGTCGGGGGTCACAGGGGACTGGTATTGGTGTCGGGCGGGGTGGGAGGGGTAGGAACGAGCTTTTTTCTGCTTCCCAGCCACTATGCCTGTCTCCACTGCCTGAACCAGTGGGCCAAGCACAGAGGCATAAGCCTCTATGCCTTGCGTTTGCAGTTACTGTAGACAGATCTTCCCTCTGGCTGGCCTAACACCAGGGTAGGGTTTGCTGGTTTGCAAGCCAGGTGGGGCTGGCTGGGTGAAAGGCACAGTAGGCTGCCTATCACGGAGGGTTCCCTGGAGCTGCTGTGTAGCCAGCCAGAGAGCTGGAGCACCTGAAAATCGTGAAAGCTCTCAACCTGCTGGGCAGAGTGCACCTGGACAATTTTGTCTACCTGTCCTTTCTCCTGAGCAGTATGCTCTGTGCAATCCTTGCCCCTTTAGCAGCCCTCCTGCTAAGGGCATCCTTGTTAGGAAGTCTGTCAGACCACCTGCCCTTTCTTTGTCCCATAGCAGCTGGATATGGATCCCTGCTTTCCCCAAGCGGCCAGAATCTCAGTCTCTCCGAAACAGCTATTATTAACCTCGTTTTACAGAGGAGGAAATTGACTTGGGGGAATGAAGTGACTGGGCCACTTCAGGCCATGGAAGTGGTCAGTGGCAGAGCTGGGCGTGTACGCTAAGCCTCTGACTGTAGGCCCTTGCCCTCGGTGCTTGCTGACATAGTGCTAAGCTGAGGAGGGGCAGGTGTAGATACCCAGCTCTACAGATGTACTGGGAAATGGAGTAGCAAATGAGATGTCTCCTGGGCGAAGGCAGCAGAGTTGGAATAAGGAAATGGACATAATTGAAAGGGAGGCAGGGACCCAGTTGGGGGGATGGGGGAAGGAAGCTGTAGAAGAGAGATCATAAAAAGGTGGGGAACCTAGGGAGAGTGCAGGGCCCACAGGGTTGCTGAGGAGATGAGGGAGGGGGCTTCATCTTGGTGCGGGGGAGAAAGGAGGGAGGGAAGAAATGGAGGATAGAGACTCAGGTGCTTTGTGGTAGAAAGGAATATTTAAACGGACTCAAACTTAGGGCCTGAATATAACTCCTGAACACAGAAAGAAGAAAATATTTGTTGAGATTTGGAGTGGTGGGTTTGGGGTTTTGGATTTGAGAGAGGGGAACTATTTATAGTAGCCCTTGTGTGGGGTGACTGTCAGGCCGTCTGCAGTTCTGAGATCCCCTCGCTCAGAACTTTACTACTGCAGTGACCACATTTACACCCTCCAGTTGGGGGTGCAGGGTTTTCTAATAAGTAGAGAAACAAGAAGCAATAGTTCTTTTTTGGTTCTAGAAACCTTTGTTAGCTGTGCTGATAGTCAGGCAATGGGTAAGTGAAGTGGGGGATGGTAGATGGTTCCTTAGTCTGTAAAATGAGTTAGACTAGCTGACGCTTCCAAACGCCCATGCTAAACGACTCCCATAGCATTTTCCGATTCAACTCTACTCTTCACTGAGTCTCCTGCCTATGACCTCCTTTACTAGACAGTTTAGCAAGTCAGCATTTTAATTTTATGATTCAGATTTTTTTCTTAGATATTTTGCTTACAATTAAAAGCAATCAATGTACATTGACTATGAGGGCCGGTGTGAATGGGCTTTTCCTGCTGTCATTGTTTCTTGAACACTGCGTTCCAGCTCCCCTGGCCTCCATTCAATTCCCGAAACATGCCACCCTCTCTCCTGGTCCTGGGATTCTGCAGGCGCTGTTCCTTTATTTGGAACATGTGCTGTGCATGTGTATGCATCCACACACACGCACACACATATGCACACACACACACGTGGCCACACACATTTCTGTGGCTTACTCCTTGTTCACAGGCAGTTCTGAGAGAGCTCTGGAACAGGCTTCCCCTTTCACTAGGCCTATGTCCTTGGGCAAGTTACTTTTCCTCTTCCTCATCATCAATAGTACTTCTCTCTGTTGCTGGGAGGCTTAAGTGGGTTAATGTATGCAAAGCTCTCAGATGACCCCTCTGTACACAGAAGAGCCCATCAGTGGTTAACTGGTACCTCTGTCATCTTCCAGGCTTCAGCTTACCTTGTGCCCCAGAGAGTGCCGTCCTGTCCAACATGAGTCATTCCCTCCGGTATTCTCTATCTCATTCATATCCTGTGTTTTTCCCCTCTGAGCACTTACCAATATGTAATTACTTTTATTTACTTTTTTCTGTTTCCCCCCTGTGGTCTATAACTCCACAGGGACTAGGGGCTTTGTCTGTGTGGTCCACAGCTAGGTCTCTGGTGCTTAGCATAGAATATTTGTAGAATGAATGAATGAGTATCACCATCTCCAAGCATAAGATTGCACACAAATTCACCTACATTTTATTATTGTGGTTTTATGATTTTGTTTCACATTTTTAAGTATTTCATCTGCATGAAACTTAGTTTAAAGTATGAATTGAAATATGAATAAAAGTTATTTTTTTTCCCAAATACGCAGCCAAATGCAATTTTTGTAATTTGTTTAAAGAAAGCTCCAACCCAAATTATAGTCCTTAGGGACTCTGGCATTGTTTTTGTTTCTTTTGTTTGTTTTTCTGTCCTTTTTGCAAAAGGTAAATGCAGAAACTGTTCATCGACTTGAGCCAAAGTCTTCATGTGTTTGCTGGCCTAGTACCCATGAAGACGCTCCTGGGGTCAGCTCCTGTGACTTACCTTCCATGAGGAAAAAAGGCATAATGTTACCAATTTAGGGACTTGTTCCATTTGTTCATTAGCTAATGTCACTAAGCTGGCTAGATATTTTAGGCAATCTTGTTTTAGATATTCTGACTCCTATTTGTAAAAAAAACTATTGAAACCTGGAAACTACAACATTCCAATGACCAAATTACTTTTCTTTAACTGCCTCCTGCATTTAAATGAGGGCTTGGCAGGCCATGTATTCTAATTTTTGGTTTGGAAATACTGGTCATTCTTTTCCATATTTTAACTTTTAAAATTGAAACTAATGACAAAAATAAAACATATCTATTGTCATATAATCAAACCATAAAGCATGTATATAGAAAAATAATTGGCTCTTGATTTCTTTTTCTGAACAATGCCATGAAATCACTTTCTTATACACATCAATCGGCTTTTGAAACACTTAAGCCTTTGTTTTCTGGCTGGCAGCATCTAAGAGAAATTACTAACTGTTATTTTCCCAGGGCTTTAAACACCAGGCTCTGCTTAGTTTGTGCAAATCACTGGATGTAATCTTCCAGAGGGCAGGGGCTCAGGCACATTCTGGAATGTGGTACAATCTGGTAAAGATTTCTGTTTCACTACAGAGGAAGGATAGGGACTTAAGAGGGAGGACAGTTGAGTGGGAAAGGAGAAATTCTAATTCATGAGGGCGCACATTTAGTGAAAATGTTTTCATTGTATTATATGACAAGTAGTTTGATTTCTGGGGAAACAGGATGGCAGATGGGGTGCTGTCAGGTTATAAAATATTTAACAACTTTGTCTCTCATCATGCTCTCTTTTTTTTTTTTTTTGGTTCCATGAGAATGGAAGATGAATGTGGGGTGGAGTAGGGGGGAGTAGGGGGGAGAGCAGAGTGACTCCCTGAGCTGTGCCCTTCACAGGGGCATTAGAAGCATACAGTTGGCTGCCCCTGATCTATGG